GTCGAGGTGCCGCTCATATATCAAAACCCTGGTCGGGGTGCCACTCATTGATCACAAAACCCCGGGTCAGGTGCCCTCATGGGGATCAAAACCCCTTTGGTCGGGGTGCCGCCATGTATCAAAACCCCTTGGTCGAGGTGCCGCTCATGTGACAAAAACCCGGGGTCGAGGTGCCACCATGTGGACCAACCCCTGGTCGAGGTGCCGCTAAATGTGATCACAACCCTGGTCGAGGTGCCGCCCCTTTATCACAACCCGGGCCCGAGGGCCCTCATGTAAATCACAACCCCCGGCCCCGGGGTGGGGCTCATTTTATCAAAACCCCTTTGGTCGGGGGTTGCCGCCATGGATCACAACCCTGGCGAGGGAAATTATATTTTTCCCATGAAAAATATGGATACGGATAGTTTGTACTTTTCGGGACTTTAAATTTAAAAAAAACGTTTTGCCAAGAGGGTAAAACTTTTCCAAAAATAAACATTTTGCACAAGTGTCCCTTTTATAAATAAATTAATAGATAAATATTGGGTGAAAAGTTTAGATATGAGAAAGGGCTCCCCAAAAAAAATGGGCCAGTGGGGGCCTCCTCCATTTTCCCTTTTAATATTCTTAGAATACTAAACCTTGGGAAGAGGAGGGGGCTGGGGTTTTTTCAGTCAAAAACCTTTCCCCCTTTGAAGAGATTTTCCCTTGGGGAAAACAAAAGGGGCTGTTTCCCCTGTAAAAACTATCAGACAAGACGGGCCCTCTCATACACATTTGTGGGTGTTAGCTGGAGCCCTAAACCCCTTTAAAAGACAATCAAAAACCCCAAAGCCCGAAATCCAAGGCATCCCAGGGGGTTTCCTTTGAAATTTAATATTCTTTTAATATGAAAACCCATACATTGTAAGTTTTGCAAGGAAAAAAACTTTATTGTTATTAATTATTATTATTATTTTTATTATTATTTTATTATTATTATAAGGGTCTTGCAGCACCGGGGGAAAAAGTAATCAACTTTGTAGATAAAATGGTTCAGGGGAAACCGACATGTTAAAAAATTTAAAGACACATGTCAACTTTGGGAAATTTTTTATTGAGGAAACGTTTCGCCACAAAAGGGGCATCATCCCCATACATAGGAAAAACTTGAAAAACAGGGGGAAATGAGGTAATCGGGCCCCTCAACCTTGAGTCAAAATGGGGTTCAGTCCCATCAATCTTGAGTAAATACGGCAGATGAGCGGAAAAACAGCTTTTAAAAAGGGAGGCAGGAGAGGTGTAGCAGTCAAAGGTGGTGTCACATTTGTTTCAATGGGAATAGTTTTTCCCAAAAATTAAACAAGCGAAGAAATCCTAAGTATTAAGATCCCAAGAAGTTGCAGTGTCCCGACAGGTTTGTAGAAGAATGGTTTTAGAGAACCACATGTTTATAAATTAAGACACATGGCAACTCTTGGGTATCTTTATTGGGAAACGTTTTTTGCCACACAGTGGCTTCAAACAGTCCATACATAGGGGAAAAATTGAAGAACAGGAGGAAATGAGGGAATCATTCCCCCCAAAACCTTTTGGGCGATTGTTTTTTGATTTAAAAGCGGCAGATGTAAAAACTACCTATGACTGCACACCTCTCCCCCAAAACGGGTTTTTAAGCTGCTTCTCCGCTTTTTAAAACTGCCGTATTCTACCAAGATTTAAAGGGCTGAACCATCGACTCAAGGGTTAGGGAAAGATTTCCTCATTTTTTCCCCCCTGTTTTTCAAATTTTTCCTATGTAAGGGCGATGAAGCCACTGTGTGGCGAAACGTTTCCTCAATAAAAATACCCAAGAGTTTCACAAAGTTGTTAGGGAAAACTCATAGCAACAGTTAAGGGATCTTTATTGTGAAACGTTTTGCCTTTCACAGTAGGGTTCTTCCCGTCAAGTACAGAAAGGGTTTAAGAAACAGAAGAAAACTTTGAAGACGATGTAATCAGTCCATCACCCTTAAATTTTTTTTAGGGGGTCATCCCTCAGGCTGGGGAAAAGCCTTGTTCCATAGTATTAAACCCAAAATTTTGGGGAAGAAGTGGGCAGGATGGGGCTTTTATGCGCCAAGAGGGGGAGACGTAGGGAGGGGAAAAAACTCAATGTTTAAAAGGTCCCCTCAAATCCAGCCCCTCCACTAAATTGGGGTTGTTTGAAGTTGATTTTCAGGGCTGTACCAAGATACCCCCTTTTGGGTTTCAGTTCCGACAGATTGAAAAATTAAAATGGTATAAAATACCGACATTTTTTAGGGAAACACATATGCAACAGTTAGGTATCTTTTATTGTGAAACTTTCGCCTACCAAATAGGGTTCTTTTTTCAGTACAGGAAAAAGCCTACTGTGTAGGCGAAACGTTTCCCCCAATAAAGATACCCAACTGTTTCAAAATGTGTCTTACCCCAACAACCCCGTCGGTATTTTTTTAAAACCCTTTTTTAAAAATTTAATCTGTCCCGACCCCTGCAACACAAGGGTTTCTTGGTACAAAACCCGCAATCAACTTCGACAACTTTCCCCAAATGAAGGGCTGGATTTGAGAGGGACCCTCAACAAACTGATTTTTTACCTCTCCCCAAATCTCCCCCTCTTGCGCTAAAAAAGCTCCAACCTGTCACTCTTCTCCAAATGTTTTTATACTATGGAACAATGCTCTTCTCCAGACCCGAGGGACTGACCACCTCAAAAAATTTTTGGGTGATGGGCTGAATTTCATCGCTTCAAGTATCTTCGCTTCTACAACCTTTCCTGTATTTAATGAAGAAAACCAAATGTGTAGGCAAACGTTTCACAAAAAAGAACCTAACTGTTGCATATGTTTCTTTCCCAAAAAACCTGTCCCCGGGAATTTTATAAACCTTTTAATGTTTTAGTTGCACATGTGTCTTTAAATTTTTCTCCCAAATAATCAAATTGTCGGGTTTTCTGAACCCTTTGTCAAACCCTTTTTCAAACCCCTAGTGGGGATGATTTCCCGGATTCCCCGGGATTGAGTTTTTTTTTTCTGTGGGGAAAAGTCTTGAGTTTTTGTAGGGGTTTTTTTGGGGGGGGGGGGGGGAATTGCATGTTTTTACAACATCGCAAATTTACACAACCATTTAATTAACTACAGAAAATGTAAAGTAAAAAAGGGCCCAATTTCAAATAATGTTTCATTTAATTTTTGGGAACGTTTTTGCTCTCCAGGGGCTTTAAACAACCATGGCTTTATAAAAACCCTGGAGAGCGAAACGTTGCCACAATAAATTCACAACAAAAGAAACTCAAGAATTTGCCACAGAAGACAACACTCAATACCGAAGAAAACCTGGGAAACTAGGGGAAAAACACATATGGGAAAAATTTGGTATCTTTTTTCGAAACGTTTCGCCTCCCCAGTAGGCTTCTTTTAGTTTAGTACAGAAAAGTTGGGTAGAAACAGAAGAGACTTGAAGACGATGTAATCAGTCCATCACCCTTAAAGTTTTTAGGGGGGTCAGTCCCCAGGGCCTGGAGAAGAACAATTGTTTTAGACTTTTCCCGTGACTATGCCCTCGTCTCTGCACGTCCCTACCCCCGACGCCAAAATAACCGCCAGTCTTCTTGCCTTTACTCCAGATTCTCCTCCACCACGATGCTGTGAACACTAACTCCAAGGCTGAGGGACTGATTACCTCATCTTTTGTATATAGTTCTACTGTCTTCCTATTATGTCCTAGAATCTGTATTGATAAAGCCACTGGATGGCGAAACGTCTACAATAAAGATATCCAGATGTTGCACATGTGTCTTAACTTTCATATTGTCGGTATTTTATACCTTTCTTGCACAATGGTATATAATACCGTAGTCGTGGAGATTCTCCACGACTACGGTGCTCTTCGCACCTACTGCAAGGTTGAGGGACTGATTACCTCATCTTCTGTATATAGTCCTACTGTCTTCAAGTAATGTCCTAGAATTTGTATTGATAAAGACACTGGATGGCGAAACGTCTACAATAAAGATACCCAGATGTTGCACATGTGTCTTAATTTCATGTAATATATGTCCTGAACTGTACATAAGTGTCTTTTTCCACATCTTGTCGCTGCTGTCATACCATTTTTTCAAGGGAAGATTAAGAGATAAGATTTTCTTCGAATTTTTAACCCCGGAGGGTTAGCCACCCAGGATAACTCAAGAAAGCCACTGCGTCATTGAGGACTGTGTCTTATTTCCAGTTGGATAAGTACATGAGTGGGAGGGGTTGGATTTGAGTGGGACTTGCACATCAGAGCTTATTTCTTGGGTAGCATTGAAAATTGGGTTGGGCAAATGTTTTGTTAGTGGAATGAATTGTAAAGGACCTGCCTAGTATGGGCCAACAGGCCTGCTGCAGTGTTCCTCCTTTCTTATGTTCTTATGTTCAGTGTGGCCCTCAGTCTTGTCCCCGAGGATGCGACCCACACCAGTCGACTAACACCCAGGTACCTATTTGCTGCTAGGTGAACAACAAGTGTAAGGAAACACGTCAAAATATTTTCACCCCGCCGGGAATCGAACCCGGGCCCTCCGTGTGTAAAGCGAGACCTTTAGACACCAGGCTCTAAATCCTTGAATCAAGAGTCTTTTGGTAGCACTAAGACAGCGTCTCTGGAGAGTTTTAGGGGACCTGGTGGAGGGAAGGTTCGAGACTTTGTGTATATGGGGGAGGGTTAGTATTTAGTGGGTGTGGGGGTGGTTGGTTTGGTCCCCTGGTTGTGCGGGAGAGGATACCTAGTGCTTGCTTCAGTGTATTATTATATACTATTATAAATTAAACATTCATCTATCTGTATGTATGTATACCAGTGTTCATAAAGTTTTTTTTATTGTTTTATGTTATCATTCCTACAGTGAGATGAGCGGTTGTACGGTAATTGAATAGCGTCGAAACATTGATGGAAATGAGGTATTGATTGCCTAGCCACGAACCTGACTTGAGATGTATAAAAGGTCTTTACCCTGTTTTCTCCTTCATTCACAGCACCAGCACCATCGTGAGTGTGTCTGCCTACACTCTCTTACTGGACCTAAGAAGGCATTTCTCTGGTGGAATATTATATCTGGAGAATACGGCTACTTTGTCGCAGACTACAGCTTAATTATCTGCACATCGCATATTTTTTGGGCTTACGGTATGTGTTTTGTTTATGGTTCAGCAATATCCAACTTAAAATGTTTATTGTGTATTCAATTAAGAAAAATATAACATATATTTATCTGTTAATCTAGTCAACATGTTCAGTATTGCCAATTGTAGTGTCAGAATGTGTCATTTCAATAACACGTGACTTAATAGTGTGGTTTAGTATTATGTTGCCACGAAGACATTGCACCACATGACTTTATCCACTAGACGTGGAGTAACTGTTTCAAGTTACAGTCTGCTTGAATGACGATATATCCTGTAATGTGAGATGGCTATGAATTGTTGAACTAGACTTGTGCATTGATTACTTGTTTCTCGTGTTATTGTTGTATTAGGTCCAGACTATATCGTTCAAGTGTGACGCACGTGATTCTCTAGTCCGGTTATTTTGGCACAACACCAAACAAACCAGAACTCCAAGATTTTTCTGTTTTCTTATCTTCCATCGTTAATATTCATAATTATAATATACATTCGTGATGGTAAATTGACGAACTACAACTCTAAAGTATTTTCGGAGCAAGTTTGATTGTAAATTGCAGTAAAATAATATTGTGTTAAAATGTTTGGTGGTAGCGGCGGCGGTGCGCGTGGTGGGCGTCGCAGCCGCCGCTGCCTCGGCTCTCTCAGCCTAGTGTGTTGACGTGGGTGAGTGAGACACCATGAAGCTCTTAATTCTCTTCCCGTGTCTGTTCTTGCTTATAACATCGTTTGGTCCCACCTCTGGTATGTACCAGTCTTTTACCTCCACATTATCTTAATGTTTTGCGTGTGTATGTTGCTGGTTGTTTGTGAAATTGTCTCGTCATTCGTCAAGGTCGAGTTTGTGATCAGCTGTTTATGGCGGTTTTGTAAGGGAAATTCATATTTATCGCTAGTTTTAAAGTTTAGATAGAAACGACCCGTCTACGAAAGTAAAGTTTGTACTGGATGAAGCATACGCTTGTAAGGATTATATTAACAATGCTTTTTATTTCAATGTAACTCGAGGGAAATAGGGAAAATTTTTCATTGTTGCTGTGATGAGCTTTACCTAACTAACCTCTTCTAGGGCGCTTCCTTGTTCATTCATGGAACATGAATGAACACGGAACTGCCCTAGAAGAGGCCCTTTTAGGAATCTATTTTTAAATAAAACCATGCCATCTGTACCCCGGCACATTATTTCTTGCATCAGCCTGAAATTGCACGACTCGCTTACCATGCGTTATAAACCCCACCCATACAATAGTTTGTAGGTATTTTTTAATGTTTTTATTTTAAAACAATTCAGTACAGCATATAATGTACTTATCAGTTTGTAGGTATTAGTTATTTTTTAATATACAGCACGTCAGGCTTGTATTAACGCTCCATACGTCAGTGAACGTAGATTATAAAAGCGCGTTAATCCCACATCTATCGCTGGCGAAATGAGGTTAATCGTAAAATACCAACTAGTTTATGGATCTTTATTGCCGAGACGTCTCTCCTGCATAACAGGCTTCAGGCGACAACGACACTAGAAACTAGTAGTTTAGACGTGATCAGTCACCTTTTTGACAGTTGTCAGTTCCTCGAATACACTTTAGCTGATAGGGGGGGGGGGAAACCTTTTGGAAAATGCTCTCCAGAGCAAACTAATTAATAATTCATAAGAAAGCCTAAAATTACATCAGAGTTCTTCAGGGAGTTAATAGGAGTCGGGAAACATACTGTACTCTTATTGGAACATAAGAAAGGAGGAGCACTGCAACTGGCCCACGCGAGGCAAGTCGAAATCGCCTACCGGCTTATACCACTGACCCAACGTAGTCAGGTCCAGGTCACATACACCCACACCCACTTGTGTATTTATCTAGCCTATTTTTTTTTTTTTAAACTGCAGTTTTAGCTTCTGTGACTATACGCGGGAATTTGTTCCACTCGTCCACAACTCTATTACCAAACCAGTGCTTTCCTATATCCTTCCTGAATCTGAATTTTTCCAACTTAAAACCATTGCTGCGAGTCCTGTCTTGGCTAGATATTTTTAGCACGCAATTTACATCTATTTATTCCTCTTTTCCATTTATACACCTATCATATTCCACCCTAATTCTACGCTTTTCTAGAGTGTAGATTTAAGGCCCTCAATCTATTAGCCAAAGGTTTGCTAAGTTCCTCTTTGCATTCCTTTAAAACCCTTAGTTCGTCAAGGCCTGGGGATTTTTTTAGGTTTCAATTCGTCTTTATCTGAGGACCATGTCACAAGTTACCCCAATCGTACATAGTTTATTATAGTCCTGTTCTACATAGTTTATTTCTGTAATTTCACTAGCATCTTCCAGAGTAAAAACTGAGGAAGTAACATGAATTTCACACGTTTCGTAATCACTCGGTGATCTGACGCGAGTTACTTTTAAGTAGACCTATCTTTTCCCTAATCGTACTTCTGTATCCCTGAAAGAACTCTTTTGGGTTAATCTTCGAATCCCTTGCGACTTTAGCCTCATAACCCCCCTTTTGCTTTTCCTTTTTTTTTTCTCTTTAAATACATTGACTTAACTGCCCATCTCCACTTTTGATACGCCTATATATGCCTCTGTTGACCAGTAAGATGTTTTAATCTATTGTTCATCCATTTGGGTCCGGGTTTAGTGCTTCCCCCTTGATAATAATAATAATATAATAATAATCATCCATTTGGGATTACTTTTGTTAATCTAATTTTCCAGCTCGGAGCAAAAATTGTAACAGCACGCTTCTAAAATAGATTCACAAATCTCCCATAATTTTTAACGCATTTACTTGGCGTCTACAGCTGATTTTATGCAGGGCATATTCTCTGGCCAGTGTGCACAAGAAAGCTTGGAGTTCGAATTTCCTAGCATGGGCAGTAGGCCTGCTTCACTGTCGTACTGTAACTTGACTTCAGATGCTATCACTGACTTCTAACACTATCCCACAACAATGGTTGTGCTGCATGTACTAAATTTCTAAAATGATTGTAGTAGGCACACTCGCATAAACGGTGAATGTGCAGATAACTTTAGTCTGGTGTCTGCTGGATCTTAACGTGTTGGAACGTTCAACCCTCCCACCTAGGGAAGCCCTGCGCTCTCGTCTAGTCTTCAAGTACGAAGGTCGAGGGTACAACGTGGACTAGCGCTAGACGACCTTGTCGAACTTGTACTCGGTAACCCGGTCCTGTTGCCAAAGGTTACACTACTATGCTTGTTTATTTGGCTTAATAATTTAGCAATATTTCGCGTTTATATACGTGTGTGTGTGTGTGTACGTGTGTGTGTACGTGTGTGTGTACGTGTGTGTACGTGTGTGTACGTGTGTGTGTACGTGTGTACGTGTGTGTACGTGTACGTGTGTGTACGTGTACGTGTGTACGTGTACACGTACTCTCCTATTTTTGGTTGCAGGGGTCGATTAATAGCTCCTGGCCCTGTGTGTGTTTAATATGACTGTTGGGAAAGTGATTGTGATTTGTTTACTGGGGGAAAACGTGCAGCCTTGCTTCGTGGGTGTTTTTTTTATTATTATTATTGTTACTTGGTTGGCAATACTGACATTTAGGTTTAGCTATACAGTTGGCCTTCAGTTGATTAAATTGTTTATACATTTAAAGTACTATAATTTTAATGCGTATTCTGAAACTTAAAAAACGGTATGCATTCCTCCAGTAGAGTAACAAGATGCAACGGGCAGAACCTCCCCGAGCAACCACGGTGGCAGCGGCGCTGTCCACCACCCGCTGGTCTCTACCTGCAACCTGGTCCTCCACACCTCGCAGGAAGGACTACCATATGCCAGAGAAATCTCAGTCATCTTCACTCCTTTCGCTTGCTATAAAGCAGAATTGGTGGTGCACTAGCTGCCGCAGACCCAGGGAGGAATGTGACTGTCTCTGCGTTATATCTTAAGCTGTAATCCTGGCGTTTTGGGGACCAATGAAGGCTCCCACAAACCTCTGCTGTACTTTAGACTGGCAAGATTTGGGATGAGGTTCCCAAAGTGTACAAAGTGTAATGACACGGCCCTTGGGATGAATTCATATAGGTGGTCAGACTAGCTTCACCAGGGACGATTTATCACATGACTGGCGATATTTTCATCGTTGATGCTCTTTTCCTTGGTTGTGACTTAGAATATTAGAGGTTGATTGCAGGAGTAGACCTAGTTCTGTACTAGGTAGTTTAAATACAAAATAACTGCATTTAGGTATTTTGTATTCTTGTAAATAGGCTTTTTAAATTATAAACTAATGTAAAAGGTCGTGTGTATTTGAGGCTATATTTTTGTAATTGATTTAACGCTATTAGAGGCTAATAAGATTACGTATTACACTGCGAGCCTTGTTTAAAATGTAAAGTTAGGTGCTGGGCATACACCGGTGCCTTAAGTATTGAAAATTTGTTAATGTAGTGTCTCGTGTTAGCTTATCAGTGTTTGCAGTGTCAACATATTTAATTGACGAGACTGTAAACATTTCATTGTATATTTTAAGGACTTTTGTATTTGAGAACTTACTTAGTTTTTAAGAAGTTTATTCGAAATGTCTAACTGTATACATCTTGTGCATTATCACTCACGCATTTCAGCCATTTCATGTTCAGCCATTCAAACGTCCATAGATAATATTGCTCAATTTAGAATACTATATTTTTTATAAATGAATTAAATAGATTTAGACAATTTGACTATTTTTAACCTATTTCATGTGATTAAGGGAACTGTGGTTTAGCCACAGGATTAAATTCCTCGAGGGTGCATTCTGTTGTAGCTTTAATAGTAAGACTTGTATTACATGGGCACTGGATTTCCCATTGACTATAAGGTGATTCACATACAGTAGGTATCATAATAGCTCACTTTACTTTTATGCATATAAACAACTTTTTAACATGTCAAGCAAGTGCCTTACTCTAGCACAAACCTACGGCCTCGTATATGGCTCATAACATTTAAAATGTAATATCTAAATTTAAGATTAAATAAAAGGCAATTTGTCTAAGTGCTATGATAGTATGGTGCTGTTACCAATTTATTAAATTGTGAAGGTTGTATATCTAGTGATAAGTCTGCATTTTAAAGTGTAGTTCTTATATAAACAGAAGAGTAACAATATATTGTACAGAATGTGCTTTAATATTAAAGAGGAAAAAATAAATTTGGTTTCCCTTATACATAAAAAGCTTGTACATGGTTACCCCAAAAACTTTTTACTAATTTGCCAATTTAGGAATTGGCCCAGATATGCGGGTTAGTGTAGGAAAAAAAAAAACTTGCAAAGACTGACATTTTATTCAGCAAAATTGAAAATCATTGCTCTGATACAAAAGGTACAACGCACTAAATTAAACTAATGGAAAGAGGTTGAGCAAAGCAAGTGATCAGATCGTTTAAGTAGGGAAGTCGTCTGGTAGCAGTCATGTAGATGGGGCAGTGTTCTAACCTGGCAGTAGCGGCGCAAAGAGGGAGCTTGTTGGGGTAGGGTGCTTAAATCCTCCAGAAATTCAGCCCCCCCCCCCTCATAAAAAGTAATTGCTGCTTGTCTCCTAGCCGCCTCCCTGCCAAAGAGATAACCCCCCCTTCCCAAGCTATCCCTTGTCTACATAGACATTCTGGCGCCGCCCCTGTGTAGTGAAGAGTGTTAGTTTTAAAGCCGTGATCGGTGATGTAGGCACAGTTACCGCCTCGGCTCGTGTGGCCTTTTGGTGTTTTGGCTTTAGCAACCTCGCTAAGGTAGTTTCTGCTGCATATGCACTTGATTGCTTGGTTAATAGTTTTAAGCCTATCGGCTACACTAGGGTCATTTTGAGGCTGAAAGTAACCTGTTCACCACCAAACAAGAATAATTCCTATAATAGATTAAAGCAAACTGCCTGATAAGTTTCTTCTCCCATCCCATGTTTATCTTCAAATCGCTTGTTCTCTCTAGGCTGGAATACTGCTGTACACTAACTGCCCCTATCAAGGCAGGAGAAATTGCTGACCTGGACAGTGTACACAGAACTTTGGTATAAACCTTGGTAATAAATACCGACAAGTTTAGAAAGACACGTAAGCAAATACTATAACATATTTATTAGAAAACGTTTCGGTCCTGGGACCTTGATCACTTCAGAAGTGATCAAGGTCCCAGGACCGAAACGTTTTCTAATGTTAGTGTTTGCTTACGTGTCTTTCTAAACCACACACAACTTTCACGGCACACGCAAATACGATAAAGCGCCTAAATTACTGGGGACGGTTGAAATCCCTTTATTTGTATTCCCTGGAACGCAGGCGAAAAAGAGGCATGATGATACACACGTGGAAAAATCCTAGAGGGATTAGTAATAAACTTTCACACAAAAATCACTCCCTACGAAAGACTTCGCAGGAGATGCAACGTTTCCCCCAATGAAAAGCAGGGGCGCCACGCGTACACCGAGACAATGCAGTAAGTGTCAGGGGCCCAAGACTGTTCAACTGCCTCCCAGCATACAAAAGGGGGATTACCAATAGACCCCTGGCCAGCAGTAACAGCCTGGTTGATCAGATCCTGATCCATCACGAGGCCTGGTCTCGGACCGGGCCGTGGGGGCGTTGACCCCCGAAATATCTCCAGGTATCCCCGCGGGTCTTATTGCAGTGTTTGTGGCATTATATATACCATTCATAGAACCTGAAGTTAATGATTAAGAAACACTTGCACAGTCTGCTTCAAATACAGCTGGTGTAGTAGTGAAATGAAGATGAACTAATCATTCCATCAACCTTGGAGCTGACCTTTTCTCCAGGCTGAGGGACTGACCACCTCAAATACTTTTTCTCTAAGGTTGAATGCCTGATTAAATCATTTCACTACTGCACCTGATGTGTCTATTTGAAGACGCCTACTGTGTAGGTGAAAAGTTCCAACAATCAAGATACATAATTGTTGCATACGTCCTAATCAACTTTGTCGGTATTTTATACCATTTTCAACAGAACCTGAAGTAAATAGTTTTCTGGTTATGTATTTTGATGCAGTCTTACCTCCTGACGTAAAGCACGGCTTGTTCAGTTTACTGTCATTCACATATTGGCTGCATCGATAATTTGTCCTTTTTGTATGGCCAGTCTTTCACTATGAATTATATATTATGGGGGTTTTAATATATGGGCCGCCAACAGCGACAGTCTGGTCGAGCAGGCAAGGCAATAATAAAAAAAAACTGGCCTCAGGCCAGGCTGAGCCTAGTGAACCTCGAAACCAGCTAAAATTATAAAGGCTTGTATACAACTTACGGGTATTCCTTAAGGCTGTACTAGTTGCTTGGGGCTCTTGATCAAAGGAATTTGACCTGATATCCCCTTTGAATCAAACCTGATTTCCTCCGATTCTCCCAACTACTATATACCTTACGGGTTTAGTGCTTCCCTGTGACTTCTATACCGTATGGGTAACTTTTATTAAGGATAAGGCTCTCACTAGGAGCGTCCTCGTTCTAGTTGGGTTAGGCTCGTTGGTGCAGAAAATGTCTAAAAGTTCTCGTGCACATTATACGACATGCCAGTTACCTTGTGATAGTGCTAATTTTGTTAGCAGAGTAAAGCAAAAATTCATAAAGGCTCAGATTGAATGTACGGTACGTGCTAGGTCAGTACCCAAAGAACGAAAAGGCGGCTCAATACCCAAATAACCCGCTTACGACGACGTTTCGGTCCGACCTGGACCATTTAGTCACTGATTGAACATTAAAATGGTATAAAATACCGACAGGTTGTTAGGTAAGACACGTATGCAACAGTTAGTTATCTTTATTATGAAACGTTTCGCCTACACAGTAGGCTTCTTCAGTCAAATACAGAAAAGTTGATAGAAGCAGAAGATACTTGAAGACGATGTAATCAGTCCATCACCCTTAAAGTTTTGAGGTGGTCAGTCCCTCAGTCTGGAGAAGAGCATTGTTCCATAGTATGAAACAATGTTTCATATTATTTCATACTATGGAACAATGCTCTTCTCCAGACTGAGGGACTGACCACCTCAAAACTTTAAGGGTGATGGACTGATTACATCGTCTTCAAGTATCTTCTGCTTCTATCAACTTTTCTGTATTTGACTGAAGAAGCCTACTGTGTAGGCGAAACGTTTCATAATAAAGATACCTAACTGTTGCATATGTGTCTTACCTAACAACATTTAGTCACTGTTAAGGTCAGTACCTGTTACCATTAAAAGAGGAACACTGCAATACGCTTACTGATCCATACTTAGCGGGTCCTTAATTCTAATTCTTCCTGTTAATCGGGATTTGTCCTAACAAAAATCAGAAGCTAAGCTAGCAATAACTGTTTACAATAAAGCTAACACTGCTTGAAATTAAGATCCAGTATTATACACCATTGATAAGGCCCCGTTGAGATTACAGTTCTGGTCTCTGTATTGCAAGCCCCTCAAGGGAGGTTCCTTGATGCCAGTGAGGGGCCTTTGATCCAGGGAAATGACCTGCCCGACTCTCTTGCATCATACTTGAATGCCCAGGTGCTGTACGACTTCTAAGGGTTTAGTGCTCCCCGTGAATGTGTTAATCAGTATTATAAAATGGACCCATATTGCTTTGAATTATAATAGAGAAGAAGCTCTTTGCAGAACAGGTGACCGTTAATCCTATGTATATGGAATCATTCCTATCTGAAAAACGCGCATCTTATTCGCCAAAAATATTTAGTGAGGAATTTTTCGAAGTGTACTATCGGAAGATTAAAATGTACAGATATTCTGAAAATATGTAGCAGAGGAAAAAAGAAAATAATGGAAATTTCTTAATTTCAAATAAAGGAACTGTAGGCAAGCACAGGTCTGGAAATTTAATTGAATAATCTGCCTAGTAACGGCATGAAAGCAAATATTTGAAAACTTTGAGTGCCTCAGCAACTTACTCTACACTTTGGAGAGAAACTTGAGCCGATGTTGCGTCTCCGAAATGGGGATTAGCTGTGCATTATTCCAGCCATGCTATTGTGACTAATAATAAGTTAGTTGATTATGGGAGTAGACTTGTGAATGTTGGTTTTTTGTGAACTTTGATGGCCATAAGATAGGCTTGTGTAATCAGCTGTTTTGTTCATATGTGGATTCCTAGTGACGTAATAATGGGGAAAACTGAAGTAACAACTTCAGCAGATCCATAATGTTCGTCGCTAATTTATTTTATAAAGAGTATGCGAGTATTATGCTTGACTCCAGAGTTTATGGAAGAGGACCCAAGTATTTTCTTTGGTGTAAATGGCCAAGATGGTTACGATATTTTTTCAATACACCGAGAGTTTTCCGCAAACTAAAACTCGCTTCAAACAGTTATACTTGCTGTAGAAGACTAGGATTTTCACATCTTTTAGTATCTTTAGCAATAAGCAGAGGTTAAACTTTGGAGTTAACTAAGTGTTGAAATCAGGCGGATGTGACTGGCAAACCACAATGTGCTGCCTTGCTTGGTAAGGGTTTATCTTCGCTTGGCACCATTTATAAAAAGTATTTATAAAAGTACATGTTAACTTAAACAGGCTATAGTTGACGTCAATGACATACTATACAGCAAGCCCCTTGTTTCTCAGAGCACTTCGGTCAAATTAGGTTTATTTTGTCACCAGGATGCGACCCACACCAGTCTGTTAACACTTAAGTACCCGTTTTACTGATAGGTGAACAGGGACAATAGGTGTTTTAAGGAAACTCAATGTGTCCACCCGTACTGGGGATCATAACTTGACAAGGACCACCTGAAGGAGATTCCCTGACACCGGTGAGCGGCTCTTAATTCCAACCTGCAAGACTGATTACTCATTCCCATTAGGTTACATATCCACTTAACTCAAAGGAGTGTTTTCTGCAAACATGAGATTTAAGTTAAACAAAAATGGCGGTCTGCGTGACTTGTCACGCGGACTTTGGGTCGAACCTGAATGCCTTCTCTTCCCCTAGGCGCTGTATAGCACCTGTGGGTTCACGCTTCCTAATGTAGTTCTGATAAATACAAAAAACACAATATACCCTTCTTATGCCCAACTATTCTCGTGCTTAATTAAGTTGTTCGTCTGTCACCTATGTCTTCTCATTGCCTCTACCTATCAGAGGTCTAGATGTGGGGGTCATATACCCCTAAAAGACCAAACTTCAATATTGTCAGCCTTGAAGCT